GAGAGAGAGAGGAAGGCAGGCAGGCAGGCAGCCAGCGAGCCAGCCAGCCAGCCAGCCAGCCAGCCAGCCAGCCAGCCCGGTTCTATGTACGAAAGAGGAAAACAGGTGAAGATAGGAAGGAGAAATTGGATCAGATAAGGAATGAAATGTTTGTAGAAACAGGGAAGATAATGGAAATTAATAAAAGATTACTAGATTTGGCTCACTTACCTTGGGAGTGCCTGGGGCCATGACATCCTTCAGTATAGCATTCTTACTGTCAAGATAGAAGAAAAAAAAGAGCACATAAATATATGCAGGGTAACCTCCTCCCAAAGGAGGATCTCAAAGTCTTGTTTGCTTGTTTTGTAAAACCCTTTCCATAACACTCATACTCATCTGAGCAAACCTCTGTTTACACAGGAGCTAGAAGATCACCATTACACCGTACTCCTACCATCCAACTTCCTTTCATTATTATTAATTAAATTTGCATCTCACTTTTCCTCCTCGAAACTCAGGGCAGCATAGTTGTTATTTCTAATCTTATATAACATAACCTTCATGGTAAACTGAGGAAAGACACTTGCTAACATGGAAGCTGGATAGGGACTGATGTTGGAATTTCTGGTATCCAAGGCCAAACTTCAGCCACCAAGGCACAGAAAGTCTCTATAGCACTTTGGTACCATACCATAACTACACAGGACATTGCTGTGGGGAGCAACTTTTGAGATAGCGTCTAAAAGCTTCTATCACTATAAAATGTGGCAGCTAGGCCACATGTGGTTCATGATACAAGGAACATATTACACCCATGTTGAAAGACCTGCATTCGTTGCTAATTGTTTATCAAATATAATTTAAGATACAGGTTTAATCACTAAAGCCCTAAATAGCATAAGTCCTTGGTATGAACCACTCTGGGCATAACATTTAGAAGAGGCTGCTCCATTGCCAGAGACATGGGAGATAGCCTTCTGTTGCTTCCATGGTATGGAATATACTCTTTCAGGAGCTGAACTCAGCAACTGATTTTTTGGGCTTCTTGAAGGAATCAAGACCTACTTTTTCAGGGGAGGACTTGGGACTGCCCAGAGGGCTCCTTACAGAGGCTCCCTGCGACAAGACCATAAAACAACGGTCTCTGGCAGGTTTTAGAGCTCTGGGAACTGGGAGTGTCAGCTTGCCCAAGCTGTGGTTCAGAGCCTTCAAAGAGACACTGGGTTCGCCCACTTCCTTTCTTAATCACTTCTGAAAATGGCTTGTAAATTGCCTTTTGGATACTTCAGAAAGACAACTTTTATTTCACTGGTTGATTTTTCTTCAATCCTCAATGAAAGAAGTTTCATGTAAGTTTAAGAACTTAAATAATTTTTTTTTTTTTAATTTGGAAATAAGCAGCAAAAGGGTGATTCAAACATTGATTTTGGAAAGTTACAAACAGACGAAGGGGCTAGATTGACTGGAAATAAAGATTTTGAAATTAACTACAAT